ACCCCCTTGACGAATTTGAATCAATCGATTTGCAGCCCTATCCATTAAATCAGCCTAGTGTTCACCAAGCCTCTCGTGGCCAGTATTAGGGTGCAAATCAGGCCGATTTTGATGGTTTTACATTGCATTGCAAGCTCATTGATTTTTTTTTTTTTTTTTTTTGGGGGGGGGGGGTTATAGTTCAGTCCACCCCCTAGGGTGGAGCTAAGATTTCTAGGGGTGGACTGAATTCTGCCCGTGGATTGATATCAAATTCATGGGCAGGATGTGGTTTATAATGGAGGTTACTAGTAGAATAGGAGTAGGGGTGAGTATTCAGTTAAAAACCGAACAGAATAAACCAAAATTTTAAAAACTGAACTAAAAAAATAAAAACCAAACCGAAACCAAAATTTTTGGTTTGATTTTCGGTTATTTCGGTTAAAATCAAATTTTAATAATATATACTCTATTATATATATTATAATATATATTATATATTATAAAATATATATTGTGAAATCAAAATTCAGTATATTATATATTACATATAATAATAAAAAGTTCGGTTAATTCGGTTAGTCGAAATTCTAATTCTAAAAACTGAATTAGCCAAAACCGAATTAACCGAACCGATTTGACCAAAAACCGTAAAAACCGATCCAAAATGGCTGGAACTGAAATTTTCGGTTTTAACCGAATAATGCTCACCCCTAACTAGGAAGGGGTGCAATTCAGATTTCTGAGGTGGATTGCAGTCTACTTATCCCTTTTTTTTTGTCAAAATCCCAACCTTAACCCACCCAAATCATACATGTAGCTGGTATATCATATTTTGTCTTATCATTACAATTTTTTGCAATAATTGAAATAGGTTTAGCTGAACACTAGCTATTCAGTAGGGTGGAACCAATAACAACGCTCCACACCAGTCACAAAATATATGAGGCGCACGATGATCAACCTTTCACTGTAGGGTCCATGTAATTTATCATTGGCAAGAGGCGTTATCATTGGTTCCACGACCCACTACACATTTAATGCCTTCAGCTAATCCAAATTGGTAATGATTTCATATTAACTCCAACTCCTAACACCTAATAAATGTAGGATACTGATTAATAGTAGAAAGACATGATATTTGAACTTGTAATCAATCAACCATTATCATAAAGGTGGTAACCAATCAAGTGGTTATTTATACCAACTGATGGTGGTTCAGTAGGTTTTTTGACTCGTTGGAGTAGAGACTTGGGATCAAATCCCGCTGCCATCAGGGGTTGGGCTGGGTGTTAAGGGAAAAGGGATGGGCTACCCCCTATTGTGTAGCCCCATGAAGCGAAAAAAAAAATCAAGTGGTTATTTATCAAATTCGATGAGGGAGTTTGATTGGTGAAAGTTTCTTCTATTCCTTAAGCATAGGTGGTGTTTGGAAGTGATGTCAATTCCACCTAATCAAATTTTCAAAAATCACCTAATTAATTTTATTGTTTGATACCATTTTTTCCATGTAAGCTGATTTTTGAGGAATCGGCAATGAGTTTGTTTGGTAGTGATTCTAAATAGTATTTCTTTTTTTCATTGAAATTATTATTAAGTATATTGCACTCCCATATTTTACACACCATTTAGTAGTTCCAATGGCAAATCCATATTAAACAGTCAAACAGTCTAAATTGCATAAAACCACAAAGATTGCAAAAATTTCCTAGAAGTGATTGCAAAAAAAAAAGCATAAAATTGCAAAAAAAAGGTACAATTTTCTGAAATTAAAATAGAAGAAAAATGTGTATAAATTGCAAAAAATTGCGGGAAACTCCTAGAAAATAGCATAAAACTGCAGAATTTTGCAAAAAAAAAACTCATGAAAAATACAAAAGATTGCTAATTACTGCAGAAAAAATGTACAGAATTGCTGAAAATAACCAAAATTTGTAAAAAAAAAAGGATACAATAAATTGCATGATATGGCAGAAAACTCATAAAAATACCAAAAAATGGGATTTTTTTTGCGGGACTCATTAAAAGAAGCAAAAAGAATTTGGAGGAAAATTGTAGATTAAAAAAAAATTAGTATAATTTTGCAAAAAAAACCAAAATATTTTGTAAGAAATTGCAAAAAAAAAAAGAATTATGTACAGAATAGTAGACCTTTATATAATTTTGCAAAAAAGCATAAATTTGACAGAAAATTACTGTAATTTGCAAAAAAAAAAAAAACAGAATTTTGCAAAAAATAGTAGAATTTTGTAGAAAATTGCAGAATATAGTCGAATGTGTCCATGATGGTTTTATAAGGCCTTCATCAAGGAAACAGGCCAAATTTGCAAGGACCCCTAGAGAATAACTATAATCAAATAAGCAAATAAATAGTGGAAACTGATCCGGACAGTTCTGGAACTGAATTTTCAATTTGTCAAATGTGCAAATAAAGGGTGGGATGTAGAACTTCTAGGGACTAGGAGAATAAACACATAAACTATTATTTGTTTGGTTTTCCTTTTTTTCTTGTTATCAATTAGTAGGAATACTTAAGTTATTAATCTTAGTATCTGCTAATATTTCCCTTAAGTTATGTTTGATTTGAAGGAAAAAGTAGGGAAAGGAAGGGAAAAGTAAGGAAACCTATATAAGATTTGTAAAGGTTTCCCCAAGGTTCAAAAAATTGATACGATCGGGTATATTGTATCGTATCTTTTGAATCCCGATATGCTTGTTTACAGGTGTTTCGGGACCCGATTATTTTCTAATAAAAAATATGGGTATTAAACTACCCAAAAACCAAATTTTGAAAAAAAAAATCTGTATGGTTCAAAGTACCAATACGCCTCTGCCGATATGCAGAGGTGTACCAATAGTTTAAACCATGGGTTTCCCTATCTTTCCCTACTTTTTCCTTCAAACCAAACACAGCCTTAGGTGAAAACAATTGCAAAGATGACTTGAAATGAATACATGTTAATATTTTGTTATCAACATGTTTCTTTCCCTTCTTTTTTTCATTGTAAATTTCTATTTGAAAAATTCGCATTCTTTTGTAAACAACCAAGAAATTGCACTATTAGCAAAATACATTGCACTTATATAGGTTGACCTTTACTTCCTATAATTTGGAATCCTAAGCCTGGGCATAGTTTCCAAGAACTATAACTTATCGCACAAGAGAATATTAGGAAAATACTAGCTATTATCATCATATATTCCTTCATAGGCATTGGTTTCTGAAAATTTGTAAGGAGAAATTTATTTTGAGATTGATTTAGATATGCACAGATTCAATTATATCTTTGTGTCTTGGAGCAATAGTGATTTCAATAAGTTTATCATCAATCCTTCTAACAGAAGTTAGTGGAAGCGTCTTTGGTTTATTGTAGTTGAACCAAAAGGGAAAACTTTTATTTAGAGAGCAATTCATAACGATCTAGCAGTGTACACTAATCTAGTCAAAAGAAGCATCCTCCCCAAAGACGTGTTTGTGCCATAAGAAACCTGAAAGTGAAATCATAACCCATGCCCTGGTGAGATCACATCTCCACCCAACAATGCTCGATAGCACATCCCCGCCGTGCATAGAGAGCATCTCTCGATATCATCAGTTCTTGTACTATCATCAGGAGATGTTTTTAATACACAGCCAGAATGTGTTGTGGGGTGGAACGCTGTGGGGCGGAGATGTGAACTCTGCCCTGGTGTCATGTGACCATGCCAGAAGATTTTGGTTAGGAAGCATCTTCTCTTGGCTTGACTTATGCCATTTAATTACATTCATATAGGAAGCAAGATCTCTCCATTCAGCTAACTCTGCTAGCTTGGCATATTTGGAAATCTTGGAACTTTATCATTTTGAGTGAAACTATATAACATCTCATCTGGTTTTAATGCTTCTGCCTTCCACAGAGATGCAAAGATATCGATAGAGAATTTGAAGAAATGGTCACAAAATTCTCGTCACAGCCAGAATCTCAGCCGCGTGCGGCCCAGTTTTTTGGCAACTCTCTGAGCAAGGATCCTTCAAAGTGAACACAGACGGGGGCTTTTTGGTGTAAATAAAGCCAGATAAAGCGCTGTTGTGAGAGATTAGCGTGGATCCTGCATTGCTGCTTGTTTTGGTTTTGTGTCTTCATTCTCAACGATCCAAGCAGAAGCTATTGCAATCAGACAAGGTGTTTTGTTAGCCAAGCGTTGCGGCTTGAGGAAAGTGATATTTTTGATGCTTTAGTTGGGTTCAGCATCGGCTTAGTTTCCAAGGAGTACAAATATTAAATAAAATATAAAACTCAGTTTGGAAGGAGTATAAATGCAAATTTGTAGAATGTAAAATCTTGTATTTTGTATTATTTTGCATATATTTACATTTTACAAATTTGCATATGTACTCTTTCCAAACTGAGCCTAAGGTTTTACGCTCTACATATTTATATTTACACTCCTTCCAAATGAAACCTCAATAGAAAATTTAACACTCTTGCTCACGCCTTAGCTACGAGAGGATTGGAGGTTTAGGGTCTTTTTGTTTACAATTATCCTAATTAGTTATTATCTTTAGCTAATACTGATCTCTCTGCTTGATTCTCTCTGTATTAATGCTATTTTGAATGATTTTTTTTTATTTGAGAGTCAAAAAAATCCTTTTTATTTCAATTTAAGGAAACATTTGATACAAATGCACACTTGATTTTTACAACATTAATACTCTCAATAATAAAATAATCATTATAAATAATAAAATAGATAATTAAAAATACATAGATAATAAATAAAATTATAATAATTTATAAATATCATTTCATTAATAATTATATAATTAGAAAATTAAATAATCAGTATTAATTATTTAAACAATAGTTTCTCAAAACTACCTTATTAACAAATTAACAATACATTATTATTATTTTGGTTGTTGTTGTTGTTATTTTAATATAAGGTGATTATAGCAAGGAGAGTAACCTCTTGGGGTACTTTTAATTTTTTGGAGTAAACATTATTACATGTGTACATTTAAGGCCGAAAATAAAAGGGTCCGAACTAGAGAGCAAACCAACCTGACTCGACGACACGTTGTCGTTGCTTCTTGCAGTCCTCTCGTTCATTCGTGTACGTTCACTCAACTTCGCACTCGTAGAGGACAAATAACTGAACTATATTCGACATATTTCTCTCTGTCATGGCCGATCTGAGCCTCGAGACCAAGGGTCGACCCGTCGGCGGCACCGAGTACAGCTGGTGCCGGGCCGTGCCAGGCGGCACCGGCATAACTGTCGTCGCTCTCCTCCTTTCCGGCGCCCTCGAACCATCATCTCTCCAAAACGCCCTCAACAAACTTCAAAATTCTCACCCCATCCTCCGCTCCAAACTCACCCACAACGCCACCACCAACTCCTTTTCCTTCACCATATCCCCCACTCCCTACCTCCAAATCCAATCCTTCGATGTCTCCTTCACTTCCCATCTCCTTCACAGCAACCACTCCGTCTCCCCTTTCCACCGTATCGTCGAGCACGAACTGAACCAGAACCCCTGGTCTGCAGAAGACTTACAACCGCCGGTCCATCCCGAAACGGATGTCTTCTTTGCAAGCCTCTACGCTCTACCCGATAGGAAGTGGGTCGTAACCCTTCGGCTTCACACGTCAGTCTGTGATCGCAGGTCGGCGGTTTCTCTGCTTAACGAACTGTTGGGTTTGATAGCAGGAGAAGGGAAAGAGGATAAAAAAGGGATAGAACAGGAAGTAGGGAAGGAAGATGAGGTTAGTTTGGGAATTGAGGCGCTCATCCCGAGTGGGAAAGCTAATAAGCCGTTTTGGGCGCGTGGAGTGGATCTTCTTGGTTACTCGTTGAATTCATTCAGATTTGTGAATTTGGATTTTAAGGACACGACCGCCTCTCTCCGGTCGTCGGAGGTGGTGTCGTTGCAGATGGACCCAGATGAGACCCGTCGCCTTCTTACTGTAAGTGGCTTCGTTCCTTCTCCCACGTTTCAACTGCAAATGACACAGCCACGAGTGTGTGTCATATTGATTCGGTTTGTGTGGATAGAAGACGGTTAATGTTAGTTAATAACTTGATATCTTCCACAGTTCCACGGTTCCACCTTCCACCTTCAATTTGAAGATAGAATGGAGAGGCGGAGGCGGAGTAGCGTCTTGGGTACGGGACTACTGGATAACGTAAATGGGTCTGGGCCCTTAAGCCCATAAACTAACATTTCAACTGTGTCGGTGGGAATTGGGTAACAACTAACAACTGGCAAGTCCATATAATGATTGAAAGGTCTGGGGCCTGTGGGCCCTTGGGCTTTGGTTTAGTTTGATGGAAAATAAGTTGAAGATTTTTCCCTCCACTTTCTGTTTCTCTCTTTATTTTCTTTGGCTGAGAGTTGGGGAATGCTCTGTTTCTCTTTTATATTCTATCACAATCAAACATAGCCTGAGCGAAAGTTGGAGGAAAATTCTTTAGAAACTCTCTACTTCTCTCTTTATTATCTATGAATAGAACCATTTTGTTAGCTGAGCTTATATATGAGTTGTGGGAACAATCATTTTGCTCCACTAGCCATAAATGTAAGTGAGAGATTGATTGAGGGACATGTAATGCTTTGGGATGTGGAACCAATAATAATGATTCACACCAGTCATAAAACACGTGAGGCCACAACCATTCAACCTCTTGTTGCGTGTCCCAAGCATTTTATATTTTATGACTGGCACATGGGGCAATACTTGGTTCCTACCCAGTAAGAGGACATGCGTCCCATTACATGCATTTTTAGCTTTAATTTTAATTTTAGGTTCTATATTTAGGGATAAGTGGATTGTAAATTGCATCTTTTCATAAACAGCATTTTGCCTATAGAAATCTTAGCTCCACACCACCCTAGGGTGGACTGAACAATAAAAACCCCCCCAAAGGTCAGAGGTTTAGGGTTTATATGTAAAAATCAAGAGATGAGTGGACACTTTTGTCCTCATATCATGATAGGAGCCAGTAAAAAGGTCACCCACAAGACACTACAACCTACCCACACCCTACCTATACCCAACAAGTCATGTATAGGATGTGGGCAGCAGACCTGAGCTCCAAGCTCCAAGAACATGCACGCCAAGTTTTGTAAGAAAACTGTCTCATGTGGGAGGCACTTGGGAAGCCAGATGAGGTTACATTTGGAGTTCAAATCAGCTCCCCACAAGAATGCCCCCACAACGTCTCACACCACATCCCGCTGTGTATTGAAAATATCTTTTCATAATAATATTAAGAATGATGATGTCATCATCAGGAGATATTCCTAATACACGGGCGGGGATGTGGTGTAGAATGTTGTGGGGGGCAATCTTGTGGGAGCTGATTCGTTCTCCCACATTTGACCATAAGTTTAGTTGAAACTGACATTGTGAGGACTTGGGCAGCTTCCAAATAAAACCAAGAACGCTCCGTGCCAAGAGAAGGCTTACAAGGAATTAATACAATAAAGGCTTTAAAGTCATGGAGTCTTTGGTCACATTAGATGGCACTCTGAGGGAGAGAAGGGTTTCCAATATCTTATAGGATTATATTTGGATTGGTGAATACCAAAAACCAGTCATGAGCTCATGTAAGAATAAGTCTACTGCTCGAAGGCAGAGGAGGAGATCAAGAAGAATGAGCTGTAAGACCATTGCAACTTCATTAATGCTTCTTCTGTTTTGAAGATTGAACAGGAATAAGAGGAAGTGGCCATGTATTTGATGACGCTGCCTTGGGTTGTGGGTGGGTCCACTGGGTTGGATTGAATTCAGAATTTCGGATGAATCCTTGGGACCCAGTAGGTGACTAGGACTTTGTGGTGATGTTGCTGAAGTCCTACTTGACCTAAGGATCCTCCCGAGACAGAGGATTTGAATATTAGCGGTACTACAAGACAAAAGTTGATGGAGCCTTTGGTTTGAATTAACCCTGAAAGAAAGCCTCGCTTTAGGGTTCTCCCTCAAGTTTGGTTTTTGGCCTTTTGCAGTGAGGGGAAAGATGTGTTTGGTTTGAGGGAATAAGTAGGGAAAAGAAGGAAAAGGGTAGGGAAACCTATACAACTGATGGGCTCTGTTTGAAGGAGACCGATGGGCTGCAAGGTTGGCTGCAAACATAGCCTAAAGAAGCAGGTTGGCTGCAAGGTCTTTCAGTGTTGAAGGAGACTGATGGGCTCTGTTTTYCCTCTGCTCAGGATATGCTGTTTACATTTCAGATCCTTCAGAGTTTAGAATGATCCTTTAATCCCCACACATGCCCACAGAACAGCTTAGTCTTCATTGAAACATCTCTTGTACTTGTCATGGGGAGATATTCCCAATACATGATTGGGATGTGCTGTGAGACATGCTCGGGAGCCGTGCAAATTCACTAGGCCGTGGGATATAAATAAGTGACTTACTAGAAAAAATATAGATAAGTCAACTATTACAAAAAGGAAGCAAAGCTTTTGTTTCCAATGAAAATTAGACTGAAGATTCATGATCCAGTATAATTTTGATACTCTTATTGAGATGGACACTGATGGCTGTGTGGGATGTAACTGGCAGGTGGTTGGAAGCAACAAAGAAGAGAGGAAGGCCATCTTCTTCATGGCAATTTCATCCAAATAAGAAAATCTTTTTCCTCATTTACTAACAAATCTTGGTCTCTTCCTTTGGAGTCGGGGGCTTTTTGATGTTAGACTCAAACAATCAAAACCCCACAAGGGTCTGCTTGATATATCTCCCATTCTATCAAAATTAACAACATAGGGGGGGGGGGGCGCGTAGAAAGCTGAGAAGAGGTTCAAGGATTTTTCTCTCAATAGAAATGTTACAAAAAGCTCCAGTTAAAATGAATGGTTTTAACTACTTAATTAGGTCCAACCTAAAACAAGCTATATTCCAAAAGATGGGCATGTTTAGGTTAGGGCCCCATTTGGCGTGTCTTTTCACATGGACTATCAGTTGTTTAGAAGATCGACAGCCCACGTTTTGATATTTTCTCATTTGGTTGGGAAAAGATCTAGCCGCCAAAAGACGTCTTTCTAAAAAGACACACAAAACTCATTTTTGACTATTTTCGAGAAGCTCTAAATAGAGTTTTTTGATTTTTTCATCACATTTTTGCACAAAAAGATACCCGGAAAGACGCACCTTAACAAAATGGTCTTTAGGCTGTTAAAATCTTAATGCAAAAGCTCACATCGTCTTTTGATTGTTAGGTCTTTCAAAAAAGACATGTCAAACGACACCTACTTTGACCATCATCTGATTTCTACATAATTTATCTAATTGTATTAGATTATCTCCCAAGTAGGACCCGTTCAATGGAGGGTCTGATCTTCCATTGATTTTGTAATCCATGGTTTTATCCTTAGAACTAAAGAATCTCCATTTTTAATTAATACTAATCAAAGCCAAAGGTTCATCATGTAGGCATGCAAGGCACGAGATATTAAGCTTTGTGGTGCATTAGCAGCTGCTGCATTGATCGCAGCACGTTCATCTAGAGACCTTCCTGATCAGCAGCAAGAGAAGTATGCAACTGTTATCCTTATCGATTGTCGAAACCTTCTAGACCCACCCCTTCAATACAATCATCTTGGTAAGCCTCTCTCAATTCTCAGTGTGATCTCCATTGCCAAATTTGTGTATAGAAACTGACAAAACTGGGTGCAATTTTTTTTTCAAGGGTTTTATCACTCTGCCATCCTAAACACCCATGACATCAAGGGAGGAGAGGATCTCTGGGAGTTAGCAGAGAGATGCTACATGAGCCTGAGCAATTCAATGAAGTCCAACAAGCATTTCTCAGACATGGGTGACCTCAACTTCCTCATGTGTAAGGCCATTGACAACCCACGCCTCACCCCCTCTTCCTCCATGAGAACATCCCTTATCTCTGTGTTTGAGGATCCTGTGACAGATGATTTCAATGAATTACATCATGAGATTGGAGTAGAAGACTACATCAGTTGCTCTTCGGTTCATGGCGTGGGCCCCTCCATTGCTGTGTTTGATAGGTTACGTGATGGACGGTTGGATTGCGCTTGTGTGTACCCATCACCTCTGCATTCAAGGGAACAGATGCTGGAGCTGGTTGACAACATGAAGAGGATGCTGGTGACAGGGAGTGGTTAAGTTGGAGGGGAGAAAATAGAAAATCACGCATAAATCAGATTTCAATTTTCAAGCAGGGAAGGGAACAACAACGGATTATTATGATCATGGGCCAATTGGGCCTATTTCTGGCCCAGTTATTTTTATGGACAGCTTAAATAGTTCAAATGTTTTGTGAATGTACCAACACTTGCACAACACATAAGCAATCTCATTTGCCACTCAACACTTGCACAACACTTAAGCTTAGTTTGGAAGGAGTACAAATACAAATATGTACAATACAATAATATAGGGTTTTGCGCTCTACATATTTGTATTTATTATCCTTCCAAATGGAACCTTAGTCATGCACCGGGATTTATTAATTAGCTTAGATGTTCTCTCCTTCTGAAGCTTCTGATCTTCTCTTGGCTATTACTGAACGTTCCTTCTACTTGTTCGTTGTTCATAGTTTAAAACATTTCCTGCAACAATGCATGCGACCCCAATGAAATGTTAATACGCCAATGTTTGAAATAAAAAAAAAAAAAAAAAAACACAGTTGATTGTGATGTTCGGAAAAAAAATTCCTGCAACCACCATTGCAGCTGGACAATTTAATTAGAAACATCCCAATAAAATATAAACACTCCAATGTTTTTATATGCAGTAATTCGATGTTTTATTATCTTTTTTCTTGAAAATAATGATATATTCACATTTTATATGCAGTAATTCGAATCTTCTCTATTACAAAAACTGGTATATTCGCATTTATTGAAGGAATCTCCATAGCTCGTTATTTTCTCTGTTCCATTATGTATCAAACCAAATATCTCTTCTTCTACTGGTTGATCGCCACAAGGCACTGACCTACTTTTCTGTTTTGTTTTCTTTTCGGTCAAAAAGTGAAATTACTTGGCATTGAAAGGAGAGTCAGTAGTGTAGAGGCTGCCGTCATCTCCAACCAAAATTCTCAGTTCAACTGCTAGCTTGACGGAAAAACAAACCAAGCTCCACCACCCCAACCAGCTTTTGAGCTATCCAAACTAATTCAGGCAAGGCATGTTAACCCAACCCCGGAGGACCTTCCTAGAAAGCTGGTGTTGAAAATCTCTCTCGTCCAAAATTTCTGATTTTCTTGTGTTGGGAAAATTAAATAACGACTTCAGTTTGAAAGCGCAAGAAAAATATACTTTAATAGTTCATATGAAAAAATATATTAGATATATCATACAAAAATTTCACTAATAATGCATCAGCCAAGAGCCTAAGACACTATATAGCATGGTTTTTAAAAACGAACCGGTGACTGAACCGGTCAGGGGTCCGGTTACCGGTTCAAACGGTCCGATTGTTCGACCCGAAAGATCGGCTCGTTTTGATAAAAAAAATAAAAAATTAAAAAATTGGAAAACGGTCAAAATCATTCGAACAGTTCGAACGGTTAACTAGCCGGTTCAACGGTTTGCTGACCAAAATCAACGGTTTTGAGGAAAAAAAACGATTTTGGAGAAAAATAGAACCGGTCCGACCGTCCGATCTGGTCCGATTTTGAAAACAGTGCTATATAGCTTTTCACAAATGCATGTATAAGTTCATCAATGTGTTATTATTTATTTTTTATATGTTATGTATTATTTATTTAGGTGAAACTACAAATTAATAGTTATAGAAATATATAAATCTAAAATATATATTAGATCCATGAGACTATAGAATGCCCATCAATCCAAGAGTCTGGGGTGATTATGTTTTTATTACTAAATCAATATTTTTATATTTTATTGTGTTTACTTTTGTATATTACCAAAAAAATAAGTCAACATAGTCTTAAATTCTTAAAATATTATTAATGTAATTAACTTTTGTAAATGATATATTTTTATTTCTATAAATAATAAATATGTTGTTATTTATTATAAATTTAATTAAAAATTACAGTATTATTATTTCTATAATATATAGTATTATATTATCATTTTAAAAAACACATCAGATGTATTAGAATTTCTAAATGTACATATCATATCATGTACAGTTCACAGATTTCAATTACTAAAACAATTATTGATGGACAATGGATTTGATAGATCATTCATAGATTCATCTTATGGTTCTTTTCTACCATCACAACCATTTAAAATAAACTATGTTTATTATTTGTTGGATTTTCTCAAATTTCCATGCATTTAAACTCCAAAACATCACAAATCCAACAATAAATCAATATACCCCTGCATTTAAACTCCAAAATTGAAATTTAAATGGAAAAAGTGCATAAAGCAAAAAAAAAAAACTAATTCTTCTTGATTAATTCTTATGAGTTTTCTTCCTTTTGATGCTTGATCTCAAGTGTTTTTGTAAATAGAAAAACTCTTCACAAAGCATCTAGGGCCATGTTTGGTTCAACTCTCATTCTTGATCTTTCTTTCCAATATTAAAATTCTAAAATAGACAAAAATAGGTAGAATAGGTAGAATGAGAAAATGTTGTTATGAACCAAACACTTTTTTCTCAAAAACAAAATTCTTTTTGTGGCAAGAATGAAAACAAATTCTGGACATATTTGATTACAAATTTAATTTTCATTCATTTTTTTCATAAACCAAAACAACAATATAGGTATACATACATAGTAGAAACATGCAAGACCTGAGCCAACAAAACACAAATCAAACCATGTGGACAATCACAAGTTTTATCTGATTTCACTTATTATGCTATCCATAAAAAAGTATTCAACTTATTATGCAAAAGTGTAATAATGAGATTGATGGCATCATAAGAATAAAGAAAAAATATAACAGATAGAATGGACCTTAGGTGATTTGTCTACATCTACAAATAACACTTAGCCCTTATCTATTTTCATTAATCACAGATGGTATTGTTTTAATTGATGAAACTAATGAAGGATTAAATGCAAAATCAAACTTATGACCAAATTAATGCCTTAGAAACAAGAGTTTTTAAAATAAGTAGGACTAAAACAGAATATATGACATGTAAATTTGGTATTAATAATATAGAAATAAAAATCAAGAGATAATTCAATATGACTATTTTCGGTATCTCAACTCAATAATTCATAACAAGGGAGAGATTGAGGAGAATGCCACCCAAAGAATTAGAGCATGATAGGAAAAATGGAGGGGGCATCAGAACTTTTGTGTGATAGTCAAAAACCGCATAGATTGAAAGGAAGATTTTATAAAGTAGTTGTAAGGCCAGCTATATTGTATGGAGTATAGTGTTGGGCATTCAAGAAAACAAACATGTCCAGAAAATGAATGTGGCAAAAATGAAAATGCTAAAATGGGTGAGTAGAAAGGTAGAATAGATAGGATTATGAATGAAGTTATTCATATGAACTTTAATCCGTAGCTCCAATAGGTGATAAAATGAGAGAGAGAGAGTAGACTAAGATGATTTGGGCACATGCATATAGAAAATCATCAATTGTGTCGATTAAAAGAAGTGATTTGTTATACATTGAAAAGGCTAGAAGAGCTTGGAATAAACCAAAAATGACATGGGTAAAAATAGTAATAAATGATTTGTGCACTAATAATTTTACAGTGGATATGACTTGAAATAAAACCAATTGAAGAAATAGGATTCATGTAAGTGACCCCATATAATTGGGATAAGGCATGGATGATTATCATCATGGTGATGTCTACATCCCAAGACAAGAATGTGATCAAAATACATTTAGTAGTAACAATATCAAACAGAAGATTACAAGAAAATACAAGACCAAAAATATTAAAATTGCTAAACAAAAATTCCCTTCCAAAGAATGATGCTTTTTTCTCGGAGGAATAATTCAAAAAAGTCTCACATGGAAAAATCTATCCTGTAGAAGTCACAATGGATGTTAAGTGTCAACTAATGGTAAGTGGCCTGTCCAGAGTTTTCTTTGACAATTAGGAATCGGTTTGTATTCTTTAGATTGTTAGTTGTGCAACCTAGAGGTTTGAGTGTTTACAACACCTATTCCGAGCATGTGTGCTCTCTGATATATTACTCCCTAGCATGATGTTTAAAACCAGACTGGATCCGACGGTTGGATAAAAAAACCCGAGAATTGGTCGGGTGACCAGTTCTGTTGATTTAGTCAGTAAATCCCGACCCAAGCAGTTGAATCATTTAAACTGTTTAATGGTTTTAGTCATTTTTATCAAAATAAGCTGTCCAATCGGTTCAAACAATCAAACCGTTTGACCCAAAAATCAGACCTTGACCAATTCGTTATCCGATTCAATTTAAAAAACCTTGATCCCTACGGACTCAACATGGGAGGCCATGTGCTGAAGCTTATTAAAAAACGTTATATATGAAAAGATAGGTAAGGTGGTATATCATGATGCGACCCACTTAGGCTGTGCTAGCAAAGCAGACATACAGGAGAAATATCTTTCCTACCAAATCCAAAATTTTGAGTCTGACCCAGTTTCATATACTGTCATGTCTAATTGAAAAACATCACTTGTATGATTACGCAATTTAAATTGTCATTTCATGTTTTAAACATTTCACGTTGAAAATTCAGCTTCGTGTCACAGTTCAAAATCCTGCAATTATGATGATCTATAAATGAACCAATAATAAGGATTATATTATAAAGGAGTTCATCTTTACATTAGTAGGATTATATTATAGACTAGTTATGCCCCTTGAAATCTAAAATCACTCCAACAAATTATAGCTGAAGAAAAAGGAAGACCAGAATTACAAAAGGAAAGAGGGGAAATAGAAGATCAAAATTACATTGACTGCATAAATTTTGGTTTCAATCAATCACGTTAAAAACCATTTGGAAACAAAATTCTGATTTCTGAAACTGCATTTGAGGTTCCTGGCATATGCATTACTTAATTTGTATATGCTCTTCAAAAATAAAAATGATTTTAACGTGTTTTTCATATGATGTGGGTGTTCCACCAAGCACCAAGCAGGTTAGGGTGCTGCTTGGAAGTTGGAACCATAGCGTTTTATTCTGATTTTGGATCCATATAAAAGAATATGGATAAATGCACTTATCCAGGTAAGAATTTTTTAGTATTGATTTAGGTAAATATCTTCTTGAAAAGCGAATGGCCAGGGCCTTAAAGGGTCTTCACACCCATATTATGAATTTGCTTTTCAAAAAAAAAATGTAATTGCGAATAAGTCAAAGGATAGATATCAGTGCATATCAATTTGACTGATATTTCTTTTTTTTATTGATTTTGTTTTATAAGGATTATAAGAATGGGTTTTATCATCTCAAATTTTTAAAAACTTTTGAAAAATATATCCATAAGGCCGATTTGAAAAAAGTACAAATACAAATACGTAGAGTGTGGATTCTTGTATTTTGTATTCCTTAATTTGTATGAATTTGCACTGTACATATTTGTATTTGTATTCTTTCCAAACTGAACCTAAATATCTAAGTGCACTAATATCGATATGATACACCCATTGTTACATACAGTATAACAATAACCCTATTTTTTGCAAATAAGATGAGGAGATTCTTATGTAGCCTAGCCTCTAACCATCTTTTTATAAGGGAGTTTGTTCTTTACCTTGCATTTAACTTATTATCATTGAAAAACTTATGATGCAAAAAAATCAACTACTCCGGTGGAGAAGAATGGGCTAAAACTATGAATCATATTGATGTTGCCCCACCTTCAATTGGTTGAAGCACATAAAATGATCAAAGGTTGTGGTTTCATGGTTTTAGATAGCCCAGCGCTACTCCAAGTGTAATAGTTGATTTGTTCTCAACATTATTAAAATGGCTTATTCAGTTGTCCCATTGAGAATGTCTACCACTCCCATCTTCATTGGTCAAGAGGGTATAATTGTTTTATTGACGTAGCAATTGCTTTTGTTTTAGGGAAACAAAATCTGGTCAAACAATATACCCGTTAAATTATCGCGTGTTCAATCTTTGAGGTCATTCCACTTATGGGTGGGTTGTGCTGAGACTTGAGAGTAATTTCTGAGTCAATATGATAAGCATTGGCCAGGGTTGGATTGGATTCATCCCTTTCTGATTTAAAAGAAAGGGATGACTAGGTTTAGTATTAATATATTCTAATGTTTTAAAATTTGATTCCGAATTAAAACCATTTCGGCCACTGATTTGTAGTTAGTGGTTTAACTATTCAATTCAGATGAATGATATATATATATATATATATATATATATATATAAAATAGTCAAAATTTATTATCCGATTCAATGATTAAACCATCCGAATCAAAGAATTATTGATCAAATCAATGGTTTTTGGCTAAAGAATAGGTTAAGAATAAAATGAGACTGATTGCTTACCCAGTTTTCAAGTCAAACAGCCTGACCATTTAAATCAATAACAATTCAAAAATACTGATATATATATATGGACAAAGTATATAATGCTTTAGGAGTAGTAATCTCACACTAAAATCTTATTAAGTCACATTTGAGTTACCCCAGGCCAAGGTTAAAAATATCAATACAGTGCAATATGTCTCTACCGACGTATCGGACTGTATCATGACTCGCATCCTTTTTTTATAGTTTTTTCAACCTGGTTCAGAGGGGCGGTTTAACCCTTCAAGCATATTTGTTAATGCCACGAATTCTTTCTATTCAATCTTTTATCTTTCTATAAAAAGAAATAGATGGCAGTAACAAAAAAGTATTGTTAACACACTGAGAGCATGGCATCCAACAACACAAAAATATTTTGCCTTAAGCTCTATTTGGAAAGATGCAAGTATAAGTATGTTCAGTGCAAAACCTTGTATTTGCACTCTTCAAAAATGGAGCCTAAGGCTGTATTTAGTTGCAGTGCAATTTTATTTGCACTAATACAAATGCATGGGATTGTAAATGTAAAAAAAAAAAATGCAAAATCTTGTTTAATTTTGTTTTAGATTTTACTTTATCCTGCATCATATCTTAATTTACTTCATTTACATTGTGACCAAACAAAAGAAGTTAAAATTCGAAACAAAAATATGTTAGAATTTACATTCAAATCATTTGCACTGCCATGATTTTGCATCAGTACAAATTTATTTGCATTGCAATCAAACACAACCTAAAGCTCAATTTGGAAAGAATGCAAATGTAAATATGTACAATACAAATACATACAAAATAATAGAAAATATAAGATTTTACACACTACAATTTTGTATCTATACTTCTTCCAAACTGAGACTAGCTAGCATACAAATAAATGGTCTGTTTGGCTTGGAAAGGGCAAGGCATCAAGGTTGGTAGGAAGTTTTTGGAACAGAGCAGCTCATGAAGTTGCTCAGAAAATGGAGATTCCTCAGCTTTTGAGTAACTAAAAACATGCTTTTCTTTGACTGTTTAAATTCAAAAATAAAAAATTAAAAAAAAAAGGAAAAGAAAAGCTAATGGTCTAAGACCCATGATGAAATCCACTGGGGTGATGACTCTTACCTCTCTCATAAACCCACTTTCCACCACCACCGTTAATTGATCTTCAAATTAAATAATATGAGTCATATCATTGAGCCTTGGGAAGGGACGGACACAAATACTGACGGCAGAAAGTTATAAACAATTTTAATCAATCACGGTCAAATAGTGAGACCCTCTTTTATTTGTCTGAATACCGAAACAAAGTTTGAAAAGTCTTTAGCTTCAAACGAGTAAAATGGAGTATGGAGATGCACTGTCAAACAGGGAGACCCTCTTTTTTCTTGTCTAAAGAATGAAACAAAAGTTTGTAAACGCTTTAGCTTTAGTGCGCGATATGAATGTTCTTAGTTGGAGGGTAATTGGATTGCCGGTCCGCTTTGTTGTGTAGTTGAACTATAAGGAAACAATGTTAAGAGAATCCGGGGTGGTTTATTTAGTATAGGCACTCCGAAACTTTAGTCAGTAACTAGTGTATGAGCTGAAAGCTTGAATAAAAATAAGCTACCTTACATTGTTGGGGCTGATGCCCTGCTGCCGTATGCCTTCGAGATCCTCGATTCGTGCTACTAGGAATCAATTTCGCTCCAAGAGGTGGATTTCGTATGAACTGATAAGACTTATCAAGTCCATCTGATCCAGGCAAGATGAGGATAAGGCTCACGGACATGCAACATGACCCGTAGGTCGGAGACAACTAGCTAGATTCTACAAATTGTCTACATGTCACCTCGGCAAGTTGAGCCATCATGAGCTGCTTGGACCTCGGTCTTGCCCGAGGTGCCAGAGATATCCAAACTGACTTGACTTGCTGAGGTGGCGGGAGATGCCAAATTATCATCCAGTCAACAGATTGCTTCCACGTGTCCAGGTATTGATTGATCGAACCAAATTACCCCTCGTCAAGCTTCAAAGGAATAAGATGGAGATTCAATGTGACACATTTGGCTTTTGATGTAAAATTTTGCTTAGTCAAATCATGATTCATTAGTCACTAGAAGGAGATAAATTATCTGGTGGGACCCATCAAATCATCCCTCATTAGACTGGGCTGCAAAGGCTCAAACAGATTGAAATCAACTCGTAAACTCAGTCAATCCATGATGAAATTAACCACATATAATATGGGTTTTAATAGTTGAATTAGCCGCATTCTTTCCACACATCGCTAAAGAGGAGATTCCTGGGGACCCCTTCAACGCCATTGCCTACCACCACCTTTCTCCAACCTTCTCCAAGGCAAATTGGGCATCAAAGGGCCCTTTCTAATTGCCGAACTCATTGATGCTGCCTTCCAACTCTTTTTTAATAAATATTTTTATGGCTTTTAGCTTGAGGTTGAATTCCAACTTACACATAAAAATAAATATAAGTCTCTTGTTGGGTAGTCGTTGGGCGGTGGGTGCCAATTCCATCACTTATTGCTTGCTATTGGCCTCTTGGGGTTCTGGTGGTTTGTCGCAATCAATCCCCCTCTTTAAGCAAGTCACTGGTTTTATGAATCTACTCAACAGTACGATTGATGTCCTTGGCTGCATTCAATGCTTTAAATGTTTTTTTGTGGAGTTGTTTGTCCATTGAGAAGGCTATCTTGTCCTAATGCACCGGGTGGTAGCTCTTTTTTTATGGCTGCTGGATATATGATGATCAGGTTGTGATGAAGATCCTTGTTTTCGAATCTATTTCTGTGCTGTATCGTGTTAATTCATGAGCCACTCTCCCTCTTTCCATGTGGCAAAATTTAAACCAGTAGGCTTTTGCCACGTGTCAAATGAGTCATCATTTTCTTTTCTTCCTCAAACATCAAAACAATTAGAAATAAGACCACATAGGAATGACCTGGACAAGACATTACAAGCATTGCCAATCCTATTGCAGCAAAATATATTTAGGAACCTGGAACCGCTCTCGTTTGATGAAGCTAAATTAGGATGGTTATATCCTTTGATCTGATAAAAGGCTGATGATTAATTTGGGTTCAAGCAAGATCAAAATTGGACCATGTGTAAGCTTGCTTTGTCTCTCAGGATTACTTGTGAATTAATCACATGTTCTTGTCTTTGAATGATCTTAAATGCTCAGGATTACTCTAAACTTCTCAACCCAGAAGATTAGAGACTCTCAAGGATCTTAAAGATATCCTTCATAAAAATCAGGTACTAGAATTTTCAGGATGCTTATACCTGAACCTATATATAACCAGAGATGAAACTGTAAGATTGAACGATCAAAGCATAGAAGATTGAATGAAGAATTTATTAAACTGGCAACTCAATCTCCCCCAAAAAAAATTAAGGTTTCTTTTGAATTTGCCATTCTGTGGAAATTTCTTCTTGAGTTATATTACATGATGTATAGTGGTTGCAAAACACTGCATGGGATCATAAACTCACATGACAGATTATAACACGTGAATACTTACAAAGGATCAAAATTGCTTCCTCTCCCTCTCACACGCACAGAAGCAAAACTATATGAACTCCTCAACCAAGTTCCCAAGATTAAACTGCCCATGACAACACTCAGCCACATTCATTACCTCCTGGAAAGTAGAGACGGTACATGGAACCACCAACCCATTCCTCTGCTCAAACCCAAACTCATTATAGGCCTTCTCCAGCAACATCTTGAAGAGAGGATGCGAGAGGAAGCCTGTAGGCACCACGAACCTCTGTCGCTCCTCTCCTACATAAATCGCCAAGAACCCGTTTGGAGTTGTGGCCGAGATAGAGTCTTCTGAATCACTAAGCAAGCATTCATAATGCGACGATTCACGGCCGCTGCCGCCGATCACCTTCACCTTCTTTGCCAGCTTCTTAACTGACTCCATCTTCTTCCCAAGCATCCTTCTAAGTTTTGAGTAGAATAAGAGGGAAGAGACAGTTTAAGAGAGATAGAGAGAGGAATGAATAGTCTTACAGCTATAGCTGTATGAGAATTGAGAAATGATGGAAGTGAGAGGAGAATTTGTATTTGAGGCCTTGAGGGGAATGTCTGGAAAATGATAAATTGGAATCTATGGTTCTGGTGATTTTCCTATGACCAGATTCACCAGAAGAAGAAGACAACCTGGTTTAACTTTGACTTTTCAACATTACGTACTGATCATCTTCTGCTTTTGGGTTCCTTTACTCGAGGGATCTTTTTTTTTTTTTTCTATTTAGAGTTTTCAAGCAATTCCTTAATTAATACCTATTTCTCTATGTTGTGTTTCCGTCTTGTTTTATTAGTTATCAGATTTTTAAGGGTTTTAAACAGTACTGAGAAAAGGTGGATTAGTAGACAAATAACATAGTTATTAACTTAATTTATCATGTGAAGATAACAAGAAGGAAAGAAAGGGGATAAGATCATCAGTGGGTGGTTGTTTGACATCGGCCAGCAATTACAAGAAAGTGGAGTGATTATTACCCTAAAAAGAATATCCAGAGGACCAAGGTGGAACTGTATTAAAATTGCTTCAAATACCAAATGTCAACTATTGCCGTGAGCCGCGTCCAACGTGCAGAGAGGAGAGAGAAGGGTGTATTAGAAAATAAAACTTCACTAAACAAAAAGGTTGGCAATTGGCCCACTGTGAGAGAGAGAGAGCGAGCTTAGAATATTAGGGAGAATCGTTGACATTAGAGATACTTCCAACGCTACAGAACATGACTAATCTAGAATAGATAAGAGGTGGGGATGGGGGGATTGTATTCCTAATTGCCGGCTTTAAAATAAACGAGAATTGAGGAAGAGGGCGAGTAGAGTTTGACCACCGTACGGCTTAAGTATATTTGCACCACCATTCACGGAAACTTCTGAAGCTGGCCTTGAAGGAGTTTCCAATCTCAGAGAGAGAGAGAGAGAGAATCCAAATTTGTGGACAGGATCTGACTATGATGGGCTTTTACAAACATTTTGCTCATTCAAACCATCTTTTTCCATTAAAATGCTTAAAAGGGTCATATCTGAGTTTGCATCGATCATACAGACTTCGAGACTCACAATTGATAACTGCAGCAGCACTAGTCGTGTTATTGTTCTCCACTCCTGCTCTTGCTCTTGCGATGAAAATTAATAGTTAATTGGCAGCAGTGACCGTCATTGGCTCTCATTGTTGGCGCATGCATGCGTGTCTCTCCTCTCCAGTTGATTAGATTCATTCATCTTAACTATCACAACCCACAAAAACAATGTAATTGGTCTGAAATGTTGTTGAGAGACTTCTCGGGCAAAACGCTTTTAGACTAGATCCGAAACGTGCATTTATCGTTCTTCATATTTTTTGTGTAATAATTCATCGGCAGCAGTGGCCGTAATTGGCTCTCATTGTGATCATGAGTGCTGGCCTTTGTCTTAAAATGACTGTGAGAATGTGTGTCAATTGCCATTTCATGGAATGGTATCGGCCACAATCTGTGTGCAAAGTGGTAATGCGACGCCCCGACCAATTGTGAACCCATGTGCTAGAGATAATGTTGGATTTTGAATTTGGGTCTCTCAAGAATTCAATTCCAATGGAGATGCCTGAACTTAGTTTCAAGTAATTTAATGGAGGGTATCTGCCTATCTGGTGGGTGTATGATTCACGCTCATTATTTGAGTCTCTCTCTCTCTCTCTCTCTCTCTCCACCATTTAGCAATCATGCACTACACTCAAATTTTGACCACCCACTACTCATAAGCTCCACTAAACTACATTTTCAGGATTTTAGATTTATAGTGTGAAGCACATGCTATGCAGATATGTAATTAAATATAAGATATTAATTAATAATATGTTATCAAAATTTAACTTCTACTATCTGCCCCAAACAAAAGGTTATTAGGCAAATTAAAACAAAGGTACTAAAATGAGTAGTGATGAGTCTAATTGCTTTTTTGCTATGCTGCCTTTTTTTCCATGTGCAATTTACCCAATTTCTGCAAACTACTCAGTAAGGTGGCTACACACTTTCTTCTTTCTCTTCCCTTTTTTCCCTTATGGGACAAAAAGCCGTAGATTGAATGTTATCTAGCTTCTGAGAGGGAGAGTATTTTGAAATTTGAAAACATGCTTGGGATTAGTAGTGGATCTGATCGTGTACGTCTTGGATATTATCATATTAAGTCAATTAAGGCATGTTGTATAATATGGATGAGATTTTGGATGGCATGGATCCGTCCACATCACATTAATGTAGGTAGGGATGGCAATTTTTCCATCCTTGATGGGACCCGACTTTCTTGATCTTATGGGGTCGGGATGGGGATTGAGGTCCCATCCCACCCCATTTAAAATATTATTTATAATTTATAATTTTATTTATTTTAAATAAATTTATTTATTTTAAATAAATTTATTTATTTTTAAATAATGTTATTTAAAAACATTTCAGGAATTCGAGTCCCTATACGGAATTCATCCCCATCGGGGATTGGGGATGGAATACTAATTTTATTCCCAATAAGGATCAGGGATAAGGATGAAAGTTAATTTTAGAATCAGAAGATTCCCACCCCGTTGCCATTTCTACACTAATATATAGATAGGCATCGTCCATGAAAAATACCCAACGATGAGAATTTAAGAGATGAACTGATGAAAGGAACATTTCCATCCACGAGATGAATACAGTACGAGCACAACCTTATATAGTAGACCATTCTATATCAGATTGAATCTGAACCCAACTTTACCGGATTATATTTTTAGCTGAAGACTGTAGCTCAAATCTCAATTTTGGCTTTTTATCATTGAATGAGAGACAATTTTAGTTTGCTTTTATTGACATATGTAATGTCCGGATCTGATCCAAATAATAATCGCATCAAGATTGGATCTGGGTATATCCATACCAAGTCTTTGACCCATTGCCAGCCCTTACACAGACCCTAGTATTAAAAAAAAAAAAAAAACTAAGAAAGGCCATCATGGAATAAAAAATTCACAAGATTTAAACCCACACTCAAAATGAAAGAAGTAATTAAGCTTAAATCTCAAAATGATATCCCGTGATTCGTAAGACAAATCCAACAAAAATACTTGATCAAATAAATATTCTTTAAACTATGGAACATTAACCAATTAACTCATCAACGACATCTTGATAGTGTAAACTATGGTATGGTGATGATCATTTCATGGACTAATCGTAGTAAATGCCATGACCCACTTTCACCGAACCAAAATTGAAGCCAGTCTCGGCAAGAAAATGGTCAAAATCCACTCAACAAGGAGCTGCCGACCTGTGGACTTCAATGACAACTACTATAAGCTAGACTAATAAAATATTCTGTCAAAATATGAGAAAATTGCAAATCCGTACAATATTTATTTATGGGTTTTTGGATTTAAATACCGTAGTCATAATCGGTTCGAAGATATTCTATTGCTAACCACTCAAGCTCGATTTAGGACTACCAGTATTAAATGACAGTCCTTGCTCTTACCAAACAATTTGTCAAAATCAGCTAAATGAGGGGATGTTAGCTAATAGAAGGCCTATTTATGGACTTAACTACCAGTGTTAATATAAACTCAGCAAATACTTTGTTCAAATCAGTTAGACAAATAAACGCTAGGATGCAACTCATCCACTAAAAAAAGTGGGGATGCACCTGGAGCTAGGTTGGTGCTGTCAATGGGTCAAGTCCAGTCGGGCTAGACCTGGTCCTAATCTGATAAATAAACATTATTATTTGTTAAATTGATACATTTGGGCATATAATATTATAAGTATATCTTGAGAAAAATAGGAATTAAGCTGAAGGTATCTGTCTGCCATATGCATGTCATAAAAATTAAATCAAATATCATATTTAAGGTTTACCACGTATTTATTTGACCCGTGTGTGTGCGTGAGTGCAAACTTATGATACCGGAAAGATATGGTACAAGAAGAGCTTTGACCAATCAAAGCACCTCTGTAAATTTTGATGAACACCACCTGATCGGTCACCCCCTTTATGATACCAGTTGATTGGCTATAAGTTTTTTGGTCTTTCTGGTATCATAGTTGAACCCATCTGTTTATATATAAATCTCAACCCAATTATAATCAGGAAACATAATGAAAACCCAGACCCCATAAAATTGGGTTGGACGGTTGGTTATATAAGGGCATGTGCATGTGTGAGAGAGAAAAGATATACGTTAACATTATATAACCAATTTCCACTTAGCCTACACCAAAACAAAGGCAAGTTAAGAGGGATTCTCATGTTTTAACATAAAAGATCACACCAACTTACAGGTGGATTCAAAATTGATATGTATAGTATGATATGATACGTTGCCATATTTTTAAACCTTTCAGAATAACAATCACAAGGTTGACTTGAAAGTACATATAGATGTTAATTATCGTAATTAATTCAAAGAATAATTAGTGAGATCCTGTGATAACTTATAAGCAAGAGGATACTGACGAATACAAGGTCACAAGCACTTATTGGTAATGGTTTTAGTAATCAAGATGAATAGATTATTCCAGATTTGGAATTCACATGCCTCCCAAGTTTTTAAAGCTAAAGTAATAACTTATAACACCATTCCCATTAATATTTTATATCATAAATTGTCAGGAAAAATGAAAAGTTCTGGAAGTGGATATCATGGGAGTGAGACCCCTTCTGTGTTTACAATCCATATGGCATGGCAGAGAGAGAGAGAGAGAGAGAGAGAGGAACCATGCATTACTTTATTCAAACTAAATTTTTGGCATGTAGTGGAAAATTCCACATTTCATTAGGAGCGGGGAATCTCGTCATGGCCAATGTTCAAAACTTAAAATTATTGACCAATTTCAGCAAAGTTTTCTCAGTGGACTATGCGCAGAGAAAGAGAGGGATATAGATACTGTGAATTGATTGGGTTGTACGCGACTCAGCCAGGCTGTCTTCATCACATCCAGACTTAGGTCAGCCAATCAATTTTCTTTATGCAGTTATCTGAGCGTTAATTGGTCCATGGGGTTATTTTAGTAACAGGAAAGGTAATAAAAGAAAGCACAACAGAAGGTGTGAAATGATAGGGTCGCCCTTCTGTAACCTGTAAAAATTCATAGCCCTTGGATAAACCCTTGCTATAGGATTCAATTACAACTTCATTTTACTTGATTAAGACTTGCTTTTTCTTCTCCAAACGTTTGTTTTCATTTTCTAAGTTTCAATAGGAGTGGGTTTCTTCCTAGAATAAGCCAATAACAAGATTTTCTATCAAGATAATCTGATCATGTGTTCCATTATAGCAGAAGATTAGCAGAAAATAAGAGGTTCAACCCTTCTGCTTAGAAATGATTGACCAGCTCAAGTTTGCGTGCCTGGAAAAACTTACAACGACCTTTTCCACTTGATTCAATTTCCTCACTCTTCCTCTTGCATCCGGTGAAGCCAACACTACTTAACTTCAGTTGGCGCTTGTTGCTTCTATTACTGGAGCCTTCTTCATCCAGACTATCAGATTCCCTAAAACAATAACATAAAGGTCAAACAATGAGTTGGGAATTTGGCAAGATGGCATTCATGTATTATATCCATATTTCACGACATAAACTAGTAAACTAGGACTGCATATAAATTGGTATCATTCAATAGTGCACCTTCACTTTAATGGCCATTATCTGAAAGTCGACTAAAAGTAATAGAGCACCTAAATTTTTAATTGTCCAATAAACTGGGTTCCTTTCAGATAAACTACTTGCATTAGCTTGTTGTAATTCATGGAATGGAAGACAATGTAGTTCACCAATATCATTAAATAAAGACGTTTCCCACTAATACTCAGATTGATATATAGGCAACTTACAAAGTATTCAACAGACAGAAAAGCACATACTAACACATGCAGATATGAGAAAGTCTGATAAATGCACATTACACACATGCTGGAGCTTAGGCTTACCATAGGACTTCAACAATGTCCTTGAAGTAGGAAGTGCATGTACCCCAGCTGAAACGGACAAGCGTTGGGAATCCAAATACAGAGTGTTTATGATGCTCCAACCAGGCTCTAGTTTCAGGGTCTGAACATAGCACACACCAGAAGAGAAAACTTAGACTAACAATGATTTGAGAGATCTACATCTGAAAATCAAAGACATTTTTAACCTCCAGGGTATCCAGATCCAAAATTCCTATGCATGTTCTCTGCAGTTTCATCAAGCACCCAATTGCGCAAGGCCTGGTCTCTTGTCACCTTAATATCAGAATAAACAGACAAAATTTTAGATGCCAATGAATCCTTTAACAGGAAATATTCAGAAGATGCAAATAAGAGACAAACGTCAATCACCTTTGCAACTATACTTGCTCCACTAACAACTGGATAAAGACTGTCAGCTTTCTTTGCAACCACGAACTTGATACTTGGAAATCTCTCAGACAGCTTTATTCTGTATTTCTCTGGATCCCCAACAGTATCCAAATAGACCTATAAATTCATAGATTACAGTAGTTAGCCAGTTAGGAGGGAGAGAGGGATTAAAGAAGGCAGAGGGATTTAAAAGAAAAGTGCTGATGCTTGGACACATCCTTTATTAAAAAAGTGAAAACACAGGGTTGTGTTTTTGAAAGAGCACTTGTGGCATAGGTCTGCCCTGATGCACATAAATCATCACCTGAGAAAGGTGTAGGTCTTACGGAAAAACTACCCCTAAAGACTTTTTCTAAAATATGCCATCCACTGCTGTTGCATATTGAATTCAGGGTCATCCTATTAAAAGAGTATTCATGGCATAGGTATGCCCTGTTGCACATAAATCATCACCCAAGAAAAGACTAGATCGTTTGGAAAAGCCAACCCGTAATGACTTTTCTAAAACATGAAGCATCCACTAATGTTGCATATTGAATTCAGGACTTTCTAAATTTTGGATGTTGAAAAGTATAGCATGTCCAACACACATAATGTGTTAATGGGAAGCCTAACTCCATGCAATCCATCTTAAATTGCAGGCAGTTCAAAACTATGCATTTCTTCTCGTGTGTAGAGAGTTTCTTGGTAACCTTGAGGGCAAAGTACACCCCAGGCATCCTCAGCGAAGAAGTTAGACTTAGGAACTTTCTGAATTTTTATTTATTTATTTATTTATTTATTGTTTCTAAACAGTAGGGCATTTCTGTCATTTTTAGAATAATGGGACCAAATATAGGGCCTGACGAATCTAGTCATAGTTAACCTATGTTTAAAATTTCTGTCATTCTTTGAGTTGAATTTATCCAACATCAATTGTGTTCAGAGCAGTTCAGTAATTAAACCTTGAGACCCTTGGTAGTAAAATAAAATTTAGTAAAAGAAAAGGCGAAAGATACAAGGAAGGTGACCAGAAGTCATCTGAGAGAAAAGAATCAAAAAGCTCCCAACCCAACCCAACCCTTTTTGGCAAAAGAAAAAAAAAAAAGAAACAACAAGAACCCAAATTCTCCACCCTAAAAAATGAAGAAAAACAAATCATAGACCCAAAGCAACCAAGCTAGATAAACACGCTTAAAGAACACCCAACCCTAATTGAACAGAAACCAGAAAACCCTCACCCCTTTAAGCACCACTCAACAGATAAAGAGCGATAAAAAATGACACATTCCTATTTCTCTTTTATGATTTTCCTGGATTTCAATAACTTTTGTTTGGCCCAATCCCAAATAAGCCCCTTTTTAATCTATCAAAGACATCTGACAACAAAACCTATTCTGGATGATTAATCCCTTTGTAGATTCACCCCTTGGGTCACACTACTCTAAATCAATTTGGTATAAAAGCAAGCAGTTCAATATCATTTGGTATCAAGTAGTCTGTCCTACAATGCACAAACTATATACACACACAGAAAGAAAAAGAAGAGAAAAACAACTACAATAGCAATCCACTAAAGTCACATGCTAAAATGAAAAGGAGATACAGTACATGAGTTCTGTTAGGTAATGTACTCAAATTTGCAGAAGGTAATAAATTATCAAGCCTACCTCAAAAAGATGTTTTCAAAGATTCAAGGTCAACACAAATGGACCAGGACCCGGTTCAAGAATGAGGGCACTTTAAGGGTACCCTCCATCTAAGTCAGACATTTTACCTCAGTTAAAAGAACTCCCATGGCAAGTACCCTAGTAATGAGGCCCATGGCAGAGTCATGTGATATTTCATTAAGGTTAATCTTGGTTCTGCGGACATGCAAAGAGATGCACTTGTTAGAGGGTGCAAGATAGTACAAGGCTGAGTCTAGTTGTAAGTTGAATACTAACTTCTTTAGCATCTTAGCTGAGAGTTCGCTTGGATCTATAACATCAACAGCCCATCCTATTGATTCATTAGCTTTCAAATTCTCGAACAACTCCTCCCTCTTTTCCTCTTTTAGGGTCTTTGAATCTGTATAAAATAAATGGTGAAATTTCAAAATTTACCAAAGTATTGTTTTATGAGAAATTATATAAATCATTAATAAATAGATGATTTTTGGATGATGGACTCAACCAGAAAATAACTTAATAAAGTTAAGCTTAGATGGTTGCAGCTTCTGCAACCTAGGAATTTCAGGAATAAGGCACAAGGGGGAGTGTTTAGAGACAAAAATAGTGTTGTCTTAGTACATTATCTGGCCCAATTAGCTTTGGAGACTCACAAGAGCATTTCAGTGCTAAATGGGCTGAGATTGGGAAAAACTCAAACTTCAAAGATACACTGGTACAAAAATAACATCTGGGTTCTTGGAAATACAGAAGCATCATGAAGGAAGCAATGAAGGTAGCAGGGGCTAGCTCAAAAGGGAAGGGGTGCTCTGCACAATCTCAGATTGTACTCCATTCTTTTTATAATTTAAATAAAATGATAAGTTCCTGATAAAGAATAGCAAATAGATCATCAAAGACAAAGGATAACAGATAAAAGATATGATTAAAGGAACCATAGAGGTTATCCAAAATAGAACAGTCAAAACCAAAAGAGATTTCAAAAGAAGATTTTCACCTAGTAAGTGTTAACCAAACCAAAGCATTGATTTAACAGAATAAGCAATTGATAGAAGTACAATACATTCATGGCTGCATATGAAAGTAGATTTGCCCGAAGTAATCTTATTTGTAAAAAAAGGAGACTCACAGTCACTACTAAAGGATCAGAACCTGACAATTATGACAAGTATTTGTTGATTTGGATTCTAGTCCTTCCTGATTTCAAGTTGGAGGGTGTGGTCAGAATTCCCCCAGACAGTCTTATCAAATAGTTTCTACCTCCTTTATAGTCCATAGGCACCCATCTTACTGTTTATGGAGGCAAGGTTTAAAATGTTGGTGTCAATGGAAATATCAGTAATCATAATATAGGAAATATGTTGGAAGCGTCATATGGAAATCTTGTAAAAATTATAGACATGGTGAAAACATTGTGAAATATGCAAAAATACAGATGGCTGTTTTATGTAATGATAAAAGATGCAAATATAGATCCTTTTAAATTATTATCTTGATCCAAATCATCAAAACTACATGATAGGGTGGGTTCAAACAAAATCTAAACTCAAAGAAAGTAATTGATCAACCAAATAATTTATCATACACTAAAAACTAAGATTTAACTTCATGTTTGAAAAGAATTTTGAGTTGGCTCAAAGTGGTAATCATGTCCATTAGGTGGGCATAGGGCTGCAAATTGGGTTGGGTTAGGTTGGGTTGAGGCCAACCCTAGCCCAACCCTAAGTTCTAATCCTAACCCAACCTGGCCTTCAACCAACCTATCCAACCCTAACCATAACCCTAACTAAATTCCTTCAATCCTAACCCAACCCTAGGCTGGGCTTGGGTTGGGTCCAACCAAACCTTCTTCCCGTCCCTTAAAATCTTGTAGAGCTTGTCAATCTCAGATCTTAACTCAAATTTCACTACATATATTGATCCTATGTTTTATTAGTATTTGTTTGTTGATGTTTTATTAGTTCTTTTAGTACAAAATTCAGAAAAATAAGTATTTGAAATGACTATAGTTTATTATGACTTATGACTTATGATAGAGAACTACAGATGGGCGGAAAGCTATGGGCAGCAAACAACAGAGAGGAGAGGAAGAATAAAATATTCAAAAAAAAAACATGTTATTAGAGTTTTAGTCTTTCAAATTAGGATTAAGTGAAGTGATTATCTTAAAGACATGATACTATGTGGTGGGGCCATACAACTACCATGCATCTAAACAAATCAACATATGGTATATCATATATATAACATATATTTTTATATGACATGCACTATAGAGTCTGGTGCTTGTTGGGTCGGGTTGCCCGATGGGCCAACCCTAACCCAACCTAAAGTAAAGTTAGGTTCATGAATTTCAACCCTAACTCTAACCCAAGCATCAACCCGGCCCAACCCAACCTGACTTTTTCAGGTTGGGTTGGGCCAACCCGCCCCAAGTTGTAGCCTTAGATGGGTGTGGGCATGGGCAAGATCAGTGCTACTCCACATTTCTAAAATAATCACCAACTTATGTAATAATACTATCTCTTGCACTCCACACAACACCAGTAGCTTTCATTGGGGAATATGTTGGTTCCAATAATATTTCATGCCAGTTTCCATGGAAATGACAATATATCATGGAAATATTAGGAAACTAATGGACATTTTAAACCATGTATGGAGGTATCCTTTGGGCACATGGCATCCCATCACCTTGTACTCTTGCTTTCTATATTTCATTTTCCTCTTATCAATACAGTTTTCAAAATATCAGAACATCATAACAAAGGGAAAAATTGATGGGCAATAAAGAAAATTAGAAACGTGGAAAGAAAACATAGGTTTATCAAAGGGAGCTGTAATTGTAATGCACTTGGTGGTTAGCTGAGGCTAACCACATCTTCGTAATTCTCTAACATTAAGCAATAGAAAGCTTTTACTGTTATCTATCAAAAAAATAAAGGAATAGAAATCTAATTGACACGCATAGGCCTCCTTAAGTTTAAAAGTCATTCCTATGGTCCTACCAGACTTGTATGATAAAGGTCTGCTGATTTTAAGTCAACCTCAACTGAACAGACCCCCACACTAGCTATTTAGGGAAAGCTACATGAATCCTCTTTTGCCATTCCACTCCATCAAGGACCATGTCCTCTATTATATTTGTGTCCTTGGATCATTCCTCACCACCTCAACTCCTATCTTTGTAATTTGTATGTTTGTTTCTCCTTTAGAAAGCTAAAAGTAATATTTAAACTAGCAAAGTTCAATTAGCTTCATCAGGAGTTATAGGCCTATAAACTAGCAAAGAAAACTCTTATGCTTGAAGGCTTTTGTCCATATTAACTAGAACTCTATATATGAATTTTTTTTTCTCTTGTATAGGTCAATAATCTCCAGCCCTCGTTTGCTTTCTTTCTTTGAAATGACTCCTATCAAGAGAATCAAATGACAAATACACAACCATAAACCCCAAACCTACTAATAAACAGAAAATTAAAATGAAAAACCTGCAAAGTGTCAGTGAGCGCACCACACTTAACACAACATAACCTGTTTTGAAAAATCTACCTCTTTGAGAAAGAGATACAGATCAAAACCAATTCATCACAATATAAGTGTCAGTGACAGAAAATAAATCATCACGAAGAAATACAATACCAATTAGACTCATGGCATAACACCCATGTCAAATCAAAGTTAGGGAAAGCCAAACCTGCAAAGTTCAAGGAAGCAAGAATCTTCTGATAGGAGACAGCGCAATACAAACATCCGTAGACCATTGGACCTTGAAAGAGGGGAAAACGAAGAATCATTAAACTAACTTAACAATGAAAGTAAGAAAATCCAAGAAAGAAATAGCATGTGCAGAAGTAGATACAAATGGGGAAAGCAGTCGAGAGAAGAAGAGAAAGGAGCGCAGAATACCTAAAACAGGGCCTCTTCCGGCTTCATCGATGCCCATCATGCATGGTTCTGAAGCCCATTTGGGCAGAATAGGAGCTTCCGATCCCATTTCTTCCCGCCAGAAACAAGGAATTATAATTTATAAACAGATGAAGTGAAAAAGATCTCTACTTCCTGATTGGCGATGAATCATGAGATGAGATGAAAAAAAAATAAAAGAAAAAAGAAAATTTCCGATTAATACTTGTAATTTGGGCCTATTGCCACTTTGGTCCCTTAACTTTAAAATGCGATAATTCAATATCTGAATTTTCAAAACATGACAATCCAGTTAAGTGGCATTTGAAAAAGTGCCACTTTGGTCCCTGCTGTTAATTAGTTGTTAATCAGCCGTTAAGTGGCATTTGAAAAAGATACAAATGCCCTTCGATTGTCATATAATTTTCTTTACTAACCATCCAAGCATTGACATAATTTAATAGTCTCAAATCCTTGACTCTTCTATTTAAGAAAAGTTGGGGTCACCAAATGCCCATTCAAACGTAACCCCAACTTTCTTGAATGGAAAAGACAAGGATTTGGGACCGTTAATTTTTTTGTCAATGTTTAGATTGGCTGATAAAGAAAATTAAATAACACTTAAAGGGCATTTTTGTCTTTTTCAAATGTCACTTAATGACTGGTTAACAACTAGTTAATGATAAGTATTGGATTATCACGTTTTAAAAGTTTGGGTATTAAATTATCACATTTTAAAGTTTGGGGATCAAAGTGGCACAGGTGCAAAGTATAGGATATTAATTGGGAATTTTCCCCAAAAAAGGGAAATTGTCTAAAACTCACCATGAATTTTCAACATTCCTCAAACTCACCACAACTTTTTAAAATGTCTAAAACTCACCATGTCAGTAAGTTTTTATTTTCCAAACTTACCTTCCATTAGTGCACTGTTAGTGCTTCTTAACAGAGGTGTCCATGTCAGCATAAATAACAATTTTCATGATCAAATTACCCTTGAATGGTGAGTTAGAGAAAAAATGGTCTTTTTTAGTTTACAATTTTTTTTGTATTTTTAATGTTTTCTTATAATTTCCAATGTTTTTGTAATTTATGTTTTTTACATTTTTTATTTTATACAATCTATAAATTTTCCTACTTTTTGTTATTTATTTACAATTTTTGTGTTTTTTCTATAATTTTTTTTGTGTTTTTTCTATGTTTTTATGTATTTTATATTTGAAAATATTTTTTGAACTTTTTCCTTTTTCATGTCTAAAAATTAAAATGGTAATATATTAACACCCGTTAATTTATTTTGTATATATTTTATATTTTTCTATGAAGGTTAAAATGGTAATATATTAATGCTCGTTAGTCTGTTTAACGTCAAGTTAGTGACATGGTGAGTTTTAGACATTTTGAAAAGTTGTGGTGAGTTTAAGAAAAATGTTAAAAACTCATGGTGAATTTTAGATAATTTCTCAAAAAAATGCTCGTTGCTAAAAGTAAAACCTTTATTTTTGGGCGACTTACACTCTACCACCTTGTATTTTGGGGTAGTGACACTAACACCCTTGGACTTTCATTTGTAAATTGAGAAAAGTGAGAAAGGAAAATGAAAGGTAAGAAAACCTTTACAAACCATGTATGGATTTCCCCACCTCCCTACCTTTCCCTTTCTCTTCCTTTTCCTTCTAATCAAACATAGCATTAATGTAAAATTATGAAAATGCTCATTTGAAGTGTTGTATTCTTTTACTTTTTTTTGGGTGTGCTTTAATTTGTAACTTTTGTACTTTTTGCTGTTGATGGTGCATGATCTGGTAGCTCCTTGCTGGAGAATAGCTTGGACGCCGAAATAGGTAGGTCGCTTAGTCGAGCTGCAAAGAAAGAGAGAAGATCAGAGTATCAATAGGGTTCTGTGTTGACTTTTACATGTTGCCCAAATGAAAGAGGTGATACTCTTAGGCCCCATTTGGTTCATAGGAATAGGGATCTGGAATCAGAATCGGAATGGGCTATAATGATTCCGATTGTTTGGTTGGACAAAATTGAAATCCCATTCCCATTCCTGCTGGGTTGGCATTCTCCCATTTGAGGGATTAGTCATTTCCTACCCCTCCCTTGGGAATGAAATTTCATTCCTACTGATTCCAATTCCCATTTCCCTATTTTTGTCTGAACCAAACAGACTATGGAAATAGACCACTCCAATTCTGATTCTGAAAAATTTCGATTCCGATTCCAACTGCAAACCAAAGAGACCTTAGAGTTTCATGTATTAACCTATTCCAATATGTTATATTTGGGATTGATATTAAACTTCAAACATGGCCATATTTCCCAATTCCTAACATTTTATGTGTCGATAATATCATAAAACCAATATCACAACCATATTGCCCGATTCAGCCGAAGTCCAACCCATTTTATCATCCCTTAAACTCCAAATTGAAACTATTGTTTTATATTTATATGTTTTCTTCACTTCAGATCATATGCATTTTCTACTATTACACATACAATTTGGGTCACATTAGCCCGAACCCAACATATTTATATCACAATAAAAAGTTTTTTTAATATATATGTATATACTTAAAAGCAGAAAGAAGGTGCAGTAAGGCCTCTACTCTCTAGTTGGTTGTGTTAGAAACTTGGGATCAAATTCCACCTTCACCAATGTTGTGAGGGGTCATGGTTTTGGAGATGAGCAACCCCAATTTCATAGCTTAAGAAACTAAAAAAGGGAAAGAAAAAGAAAAGCAAAAAGAAGTAAAGTAATTGGAACAACCCAAACTCACGGGGTTAGACTTTGATTGGGTTAGGGCTGACTTAAAATCAATATGACTTGTACCTTAGGTTGTGTTTGGTTGCAGTGCAAATTTATTTGTACTAATACAAATGCATGAGAGTGCAAATGTAAAAAATGCAAATTATTGTTTAATTTTGTTTTTTGAATTTTATTTTATTCTGTTTCATGTCTTAATTTATTTTATTTGTACTGTAATCGAACAAAATAAACTAAAATTTAAAACAAAAACAGGTCAGAAATTACACTCAAATCATTTGCACTGCCATGGTTTGCATCAGTGCAAATTTACTTGCATTGCAACCTAACACGGCTTTAATTATTCACAAGTGTGACAAAAAAAACCATGGTGGTGGTGGTGAGCAGGGTGGGGTTAGGAATTTTTTAAGGGGCCAAAACGTAAAATGGATAGGAATGGGGGAGATCGAACATGAATCCACCAAGAAAGGGGGACAATCATTGGGGTGGAAGTGCGAGAAGGGGGAAAATATACATGATAGGAGTAATATAAGTGGAGATTTCTAGAACATAATGAACAAGTCATTGGGAGAGCACATCTACTGCGACCGTGGACACTAACACTCCATTATAACAAAATATAAACTCATCAACAATGAGAATAAATCAAGTGCACTGTAAGCTGTCATGCCCATGTTTCTTTGGACTCCGGATCTCCTGCCCACGAGAGTTTTACCCACATCTATTCACAACACACTATCCCCCATAAATTGTGAACATCTCCCCCTGCATAATTTTATGTAGGAGGATGAGATGTTCTTCATGTATGGCTGCGATGTAATGTGGATAGACATGGACAGAGTTTGTGTGGACAAGATATCTGAACTCATTTCTTTGAATTAGGATATGCTCCCAATAAAAATTGTCCCAACACGTTTCCAACATGATATGTGTCCATACATCTCATTATAAGAATGAGACTGTCCACACAAACCATATTGGAATGTGTGGGAATGGTTTTTTAGTGAGAGCAGATCTGATTTCTATTTCCTCGGGGGGTTACAATGGCTACATATGCAAACTCAGTCATTACATGGGTGGGCTGGAAGGCACATTTCCAGCACAGGTTTCAGGTTTATACATTAATTGAATGCTTACTCAATGTGCCTATTAGATGGGTCTCCTTTCTTTTCCCCATTTTAACTATATCTTCAAAAAAAGTTAATATAGAGTACTTGTTAGAATTTAGAAATTATAAAAGGCTATGTTTGTTCAGTGCAAATATGAACTGGATAAAATTTTTGCACCTAATTCAAATTTACACCTATTTGTTTGTAATTATGATATGTACTTCTAGGCGATACAAAATTTGTAGCTTTTGTTTCACTTGCACTATTGCATGCCAAAAGTTGTTATAAAAGGCTGTTTGTTTGCAGTGCAAATATGAACCAGATGCAAATTTTGCACTTAGTTCAATTTTACACCTATTTGTTTGCAATTATGATATGCTCATATGCACTTTTAAGCGATATACAAAAGCTGTTTGTACCATTTATTCTGCCTATTTGCACTCCCTGCATTTATAGGCGCAAATGAATTTGAATTGCAAACAAAGCAGTAAATTGCATATGCCAGACTTAAACTGCATTATACACACTTGGCCTTTCTCATGTCTTGTTGTATTTTCAATGAAGTTTTTTGGGGGCCCAAAACTGATCGAGTTGTACAGATTTTCAATGAAGTCTCCGTTCACTGTTCATGAAAGCCATCTAATCTAAATCTTGGTCCTAATTCCTCTACTATATGCATATATACATACAAGAGATCATCGGACACAATCTCTCCAGAAAATCAATGCCAGACTGCACTCGATGGAAACAGAATCATGTTCATGAAAAAAGAAGCAGAAAATCCACTCTCTTATTATATATATATTTGCATGAAGCAGGTTCTTGTCTTCTTGAGAATCTGAGATCAATCTTTATGTGGGTGCGTGATCTTCCGGTGTGGACATCGAGCCAGCTTCGATTCTACTAGCCAATGTACAAAGAATCGTGGCCACACGTCCCTTGTCTCTACATCTCATTGTCATTTCCAGATACTGCATGGAGTCCCGAGGAAGGAGGCCTTCAATCAGAAACTGAAACAGATGAGAATGGGTCCCTTCCATCACCTCCATGCACTGCTCCACCATGCTTTGCTCCCACTCCTTGCTCAGCTCCACCGCCTCCAGCAACGGCAGCAGCTCTCTCTCTTCCTCCTCGAAGTGTTGCTTGCAATGCTCCTGATTCAAACCCAAATCATCAACAAACTCACACCACACCAGAAAAGCGTAACGTACACTACAATGCAGCGGTGACATGAGATCAGACAAATCCAGCTGAGAGGCAATAGAGCCCACAAATTATCAATCATGGAACCCTGGGTCCCGCGCTCACGGCGCACCCCCAACTTGATTGACGTACCTGTAGAGTTTTCAGTCTGGCGGAGAGATCGAACAGGGCTTCTTGGTAAGGAGCACTCCCTGCCTCGAGCACTCCAATTGACTTGATTTCTTCTTTGATGCCATTCATGATAGGCAAGTCCCTCGCGTGTTCCTCATTCGCGGCTTTACTCAACCCTGCACAGCGGTTGAACCATTCAACTGTAGCATTTCTACAAACAGAAGAAAGACGAAAAAACTTGGAAGATAACGATGGGCGTTTGGTCTAGTGGTATGATTCTCGCTTCGGGTGCGAGAGGTCGCGAGTTCGATTCTCGCAACGCCCCTTTGTGAAATTTTCTTTTACTTTTAGTTACCTCGATCAGCTTTCTCCAAGATGGGGAAGATGATCCTCTCCTCCATCTGAGCGTGCTCCAGCATCACCTCCAGCAGCTGCGAGTAGCTCCTCCCGAACTTCCTGACCTCCATCCGAGGGCTCCCCATTGATGGATCCACGGTCCTCCTAGCACCACGTGTAGCCATATCCTCTGCCCACCTTACCAGCCTCTGTAGGTGCCACGTCATGCTCTTGTGCTGCAGCGTCGTCGCCAATACAATCGCCGGATACCTCTCACGCTGCAAGGAGCAGACACGGTGAAGCAACGGAGGGTGAGGGAACTTAGCTTCGATATATTGGAGCAGAGTCTCGGCAGAACCCGATATAGTATCGGAACCGCATTGCAGGACGGGCTTGTCGGCGGCACCGAGAGTCGTGCTTTCGAATGGAATGAAGTGCAAAGAAACAGCCTTGTAGTGAAGCGCCACTCTGATATATGAGGTTACAGCGCCGGACGGCGAACCATACAGTTTGACGGGGGGAGAGCCTCTGCTGTAATAATCGAACGGTGCGATTTCCGCCGACGATTTCTTAGGTTTTCTAAAACAATTTCCCATCACCGAGATCAGAAAACGAATACCCGAAAGAGAGTAAGAGACCTCGGGATGCAGAGCTTCAAATTCAAAGTTCAAACTGCAAAACCTGCAACCTGCAACGCAGAAAAGATCCTTAAAGAATTGCGGAAGTAGCGTGGCGCCAAACGAAAAGCACAAAACCAGAAAAAAGATTTGATACGATCAAGAAGCAATCACATCAAAACAACGATTAGGGTAACAACAAACAGAAGTTAGGATTGATAAATCTTCCCAATACCGAACAAGGAGTGTCTACGAAGAAACGGATACCAGAGCGCGAAGAACCAAGAAAACATAAAGCTTATGCTTTGCTTGTAAGACTTTCTAACGAACTTTATAAAGCTCAGAAAAGAGCTTAGAGAAAGAAAGTGTCGCCAGTGATGGAAAATCTACAGAGCTCAAAGAAAACTTGCAGAGATTTACGAAATTCTTGCAACAGGAAGATTCCATTTTATACCTCCTCCGACGCTCCTGGACGCGGGTCGGTTCTCCGGCTGGTGGCGCTGTTTGGTTCACTTTAGTAACTCCATTGTCGAGTCAAATCCTCGTTAATGCCACTAATGGGACATCGTATTACAAAAGTGCCACTGCACTAATATGGAAGGATAGCATTCGAGCAAGAACCACAGAACAGAGAAGTCGGAGGGCATTTAGGTCACTAAAATTTCATATTTTGCTTTTTTTTTTGAAAAATCAATTTATGGCAATTTTAGACAATTAAGCGGGCATTAAAAGGTGTGTAATTTCAATTTGGGTGCATACGTTGTACGGTTTTAGATTGTGGGCTTTGAGTTTTGCAACGGTAACCTACTTTCAAATTTTAATAAGAAAATTATCAGGTTGTTTTCACCAGAAAAAGAACGTCAGATTGGTAGCCGTTGAAACTAGAGATGATTTTAGCCAAAAAAAAAAAGAGAGAGAGGAGACTAGGAAGTGGGGACTGGGGAGGGAGTAATGATCCGTGGGCCGGGCCAGTATGGGCTTTGTCGGTGTAGGAACTCCAGATCTAGGAAGTGAAATTGGTTTGGTCTCACAGGATTCTTTATGTTTATAATGCTGATGCTCCCCTGGAAGGTGGAGAGTTTAGGCTTCAGAGTTGATTCAATTTGGTTAGTTATCTCAATTTCTCTTTTATATTTTTGATAAATCAGAAAATTAAATTAACCCAGTAAATAAAAGAATACTCATAAGAAAAAAAAAAAAGAGGAGGAGAACCAACCCAACACCTATGACCTATCCTCCTCAAAAGATTTGGCTTATTGGGCTTGGGCCATTAAACAACTTAGATGGCCCAGCCTATTGCACGACTTAGATAACTAAACAAACCCATAATAACCCTTAAAAGGGTTAATCAAACCACCATCACAAAAGAAAGAAACACTATTATTAAGAAGCAAAGCAAATTAGGATTTTGCTCAGAAGCATTCACAGAGAATACACAACCAGTAGAAGAAAAGCAAGAATTCATATAATCAGAAAGAGTTAATTCTCCCTAGCACTCTGTCCAAGCTCCAATGAACCCTTATAAACACAAAAACATTCCTAAATAACCAAATATTGTATAAAATAATAATCGTAGTCCAACATAGAAACAACTTTCTATCACTCTTACCACTAAAACTTTGGACATTATCAAACAACAAAGCCTCAATAGAAGAAATTCTACAATTATGAAAGTTGCAACCCCAGAGGCGACCCAAATCAGATAGCCCTAGCAAAACTGCAAGCAAAAAAAAAAAAAAAAAGGATAACATCCTCATTACCAGAGCTACAATACACACAAAGTGATAGAAGCACATAGAACTCCGGAAGCAAAAATAGAAGAAACTGTTATAAAATTCCTTACAATTCTTCACAAGAGAAAGGGCCCATTTGGTTTCCAGGCCCCCCTAGGGAATGGGATTCCCATTCCAAAGTCTGTCCAGTAAAGAACTCATGACAAAAAGCCCTCCAAATTCTAATATTAATAAAATAATAAAATATCATTAAATTAATAATATGATAATAATATTAATAATAAAAGAATAAAAATATTAATAAATTAATAATAACAAACAAAGATATTAACTATTAAATATAATAATAAAGTATACGTAAAATATTAATACAATATAATTAAATTAATAATAAAAATTTAATAGTTAAATAATAAAATATTATGAAAGTAATAATGAGATAATACCAAAATAAATTAGCTTACTAGTCTACCTTTAAGGGTGTTCTGTAGATGGTCCTCTCATACATGATCAAACCATTCTAGTCTACCTTCCCTCGTTTTATAAATGAGGCTCCTTCAAATATCTTCATTTCCGACATTGTCCTCTCTCTGGTTTTCCCATTCATCCATCTCAACGTTTGTGCTTCAGCCATACTCATATTTTGGACATATCGATTTTTAACTACTCAATATTTTCTTCCATACAATATAATGGGCCTCAATACATATATAATGTGTTTCATCTGATTAGTGTCATGCTCTTATGGTTTAGCACATTAGCCCTGGTTGTTTTACACCAAATTGTCTGGGCCTTAGCTAGCTCAACTAGAGGGCTTTTGGAAAAACAATGTTTGCCTTTCCCATACTAGCCATTGTAACGTTGAAGAGAGGGGAGGGGGAGTATCAACTGGTCCAATTGGTTCTATAGTTTGACCTAAGACTCCTATTTTCCACTTCCAATAACCACCAGATCATTCTTTGGTGATGCCTTTATGGTCAATGAAAGATGATAGGAATCCATAAGCAAGTTGGTTGGATCCAAAATCTAGACAAACCCTTGTTGGGAATGGAGATTTTGGCGAAATTGAAGAATTTCAAGTACATTGGGTCGTGGTTTGGGCTTGGGCCCATTCAAAATAGATTCCATTTCAAAGATGATGTGTTTGGTTCTTCCCTCAACTTCCCTCAACTTCTATTTCCTCTCTTATTTTCCATCAAACCATACACAGCCGCGGGTGATGCTACTCAAGAACATAGTAGTGTCAATGGGTACCCAGATATGTGAACTACCCGGCCCACTGATTAGTAAAATTTGGGCCAGCAATTTGGATATTTTGGTCCAATTTATTGGGCCGAGTCCATATTCTAACCCAGAGGTAATTAATGTGGGTCTACTCTGGCATCCTGATTGATTGCACTCAGATAAGAGGGGGGAGGGGAGGGGCCCAATGATAATTGGACTTTAAGAAATAAGAGAAAAATGAACACTCAATTTTTTCTTAAATTTAAAAGATTCCTCTTAAGCCCCTTGTTCACTTTTTAGATAGTTACTTACCCAGATACATGTAGGGTAAGTTTTTCCTGGGAAACACTTACCTAGGTAAGTGCATTTATCCATGTTATTTAATTTCTCATGTAAATAAGGTAATTACCATTTTAGCCATAAAAATCCATTATTAAAAGGGACATTTTTGTCCCATTCAAGTGTTGGCAATTTCCCCCTAAGTGGAAAAATTACTTACCCACCAAGGAAATAGGTATCACTTACCCGGGTAAGTGGTACCCAGGAAAATAAAATTTCCCTGGTCCCCACATAAATCTGAAAAAATAACATAGGATTCTTGGTTAATGGGAACCAAAATCTCATTGACCAATTTTCTCCCCTCTAGGGAAATATAGGAAAACCTATACAAGATTTATAAAAGTTTCCATACATTTCCTTAAAACCAAACACAACCTAAGACATAAGAATTAAAAGGAAACAAAAATACCTACCTCAAAACATATATTTGATGAATTGAAAAACTGTCACTATGTTCCCGCAGAAATCCAGTTGAAATAGGAAGTACTCCAAAATTCCAAATAGCTTCTCTGGAACTCAACCACCACAACTGAATTATGAATTATCGTACCTCGCTTTCAGCACTGAAGCCCTAAATATTGAACAGGTGTCACTGTGTGATTGTATGTGTTGTACTGTGTATAGCAAGTACGGTGCGGTACTTGTGCCCTTGTGTAGCAAAATCTGTTTTATGTTATTAAATTATATATATTTGTATTGTTGAAGGTGTTCATCTGTATGTTTTCTAAGCAACAATGTCATAAAAAATATGGCTTCATTACTCTTAGTTTGTTTATTATAATAATTTTATTTGTTGTCTGCTCACTGTATATCAACAAATCTGAGACAAATGTTGACTTGAAATTAAGTCCAGATGTTGCATCTTTTACCCTCTTTTCATGTGGCTAGACCATCTCGAGCACCAAAGCACTGTTACCTGAGGAAAGACCAAATCTGACGCTGCACTTGGGAGTTCGGAGACTTTACAAAGGATTTCATTCCCTCTACATCTGCATAGTAATGGGTGCCAACTACCACACATCTAGAGATGGCTTGGCTCTCGAACTCAGACGTTGACATCAAATTCATGGAATTCTGCTATTCTGTTGAGCAGCTTGAGCTTGACTCTTTAGGGGCCATCCATGATAAGGCACTCAACTCAAGAAATGAGGAGGCAAAACTGATGGGAGAAGCGATCCCCAAATCCGGCTAAGAGGGTGTGGTGTGTCTCAGTGTCTACATATACGTATAGCTATGGGAATAAAACAAACACCTGGCGGGCAAGTTGGACCATGTATAGGCAGTACGCAGGGGGCTGAGACCAGCCTACTCATATGTGGTCCAGTTTTAAGTGGAATCAGGATTCTCTTCACACTAAGTGGAATCAGTTTTATGTGGTCCAGTTTTAAGTGAAATAAAAGGTAGGGAAAGGAAGGAAAAATAAGGGACCTTGTATAGCTTTCCCTTCCTTTTTCCAGTGGTCCAGTGGTCCAGTGGTCCAGTCAAGTAATAAGGCTGATCCAAATGGGCAGGTATCTGCTACCAACCCTAGCCTAATAAGCCACTGCAACCTCACATTGAGAACATCTCCCTTATCATTCATGAGAGGAGATATTCTTGATGTACGGTTCCAATGACGGGTTGGGACGTTGTTATCAACACTGTGTTGGTAGCTGATCCAAACTCACTTGACGGGTACTTCCAGTTTCATGGTTCTAAGAGGTAGTTGCACTTGAGGCAACCAAAATTGTTCAATGCTTATATTATATGCAATGAACTCTTGAGAGGTGGAAATGCATAGGCATGTGCCAATGGGCCAATCTTATTGATGAATCAATTTTTGTACTAAGTACCTCGTCATTTGGTTTGCTTCCAAATGGTTGATGACTCAAAGGCCGAAGTGGAGAATTTTGCTGGGTGAGGACCTGGATGTCGAGTTGACCAGGCTGAGCTGGGAGTGGGATAGGTGCCAAGCTAACCAGGCCGAGCTGGGGGCAGGCTAGGTGTCGAGTTGACTGGTGGCGAGCTGGATTGATTGTTGAATTTCATAATTCTTTAGAGACCTACAAGGAATCAATGTCAGAGGACGCGGGGTGGTTAACCCGGCGAGGTCGCTCCGATGCTTAAGTCAGTACTCTCATAGTAGACTGTGAG